ACTTCTAACAGGCATCATACACCAAGAAATGTCTCTGTTCATAGTACATGCTGACCTATGGGATTTCATGCTGTTAAGACACCATTAAAACTTCTAACAGGCATCATACAATTTCCTTACTCCATTATGATGCAAGATATTTTAGCGTCTTAGAAATTTCCAGGTAATTTCTTTTTAAAAACCAGCAACACAATAGATGTGCAGTTGTCATGCCTTTTATGGTGAGAGACCAACACATATTTCCTCAGATAAAGAGCACTTGTGTTGCTGTGTCTTCCCTTTTTTTCCCTGTGTGCAGAATGGACATGCTTTGTCAATGAGAAAATGCAATGTTAACAGAGGGTCTAAAAATGGTAGTATATGCATCTCTTTTGCCATTATCATCCCTCCCACAATCCTGCAGTCTCACATCAGTGTTTACTTGATGGTCCTCCTTCCAGGATGTGCATTCCTCTGCTGTCCTAAAGCAGTGCATTGAGAGGTTTACACCCCTCATCATACATACCAAAAGTTACAGACCACAATATAGCTTCATACCAAAGCCTGGACAGATTCCTTTTTTGGACTGTAATTCTCAGAATTCTCCTAGTAGTATGACCACAACAACCATAACCACATGGTACCAAGAGCAACAGCCACCCACCTCCCATCTCACGCATGCATTCAGAGCCAGATGGGCACACTTATACCAAGCCTCAGGTTTTGAAGGGGGAAATCCCTGTTTGAATACTCACTCACCCATGAAGGTCAGTCCATGGCCTTGAGCAAAGCACTTCCACTCAGCATAATCACGTTGCTATTAAGAGGTTAAAACGCCGCCCTGAACTCCTTGTTATCCTACTATGCCTCCAAGCACAACCAATAAATAAATCCATTAAAGAGAAATAGAATACTACCATCATAATTACATTTAATGCAAGTATATCGCCACAAGTAACATAAGGCTTAATATTGCCTTAGCCAATTAGCAGTTTTTCACATTATCTGTTACAAAACAAAATGGGCAAATTTACAAACTTCAGACGATTACTGTGACACTTGCACATTATCACAGATATATCAACCTTTAAAGGACTTTTCTCTTTTAGTAATGGATCATCTGTAATATATACTGTCCTTAAACAGTTGACCAAAGAACCCTGTCCACCCAAAACCATTTTGAAAACCAGGTCTTCAGCACTGTACTGCTTTGGCATCACCCTGTCTTGCCAAAAATGGGGATGAAAGAGCAAAATTCATGGAGGAAGAAGCTGAGCCACGTGGGAGACAAATGATGGCTATTACCAAAAGCTGAATCCATTTTTAATCTTGCCTAGAGTAGGCCTACAGAAAGCAGTGGGAACTGGTCAACAGTAAATTTGTAGTTCCTATGTGGTTAGTCTGGTCTGAGTAGACCTGGCATTTGATCTGAATCCCAGGATGGTAAGGAACAAGCTTACCTTCCTAGCCAAAAGCCTACATCATCAGTTCCTACTTTCTCAGTCCATTTCACCTATTTAGAGAACTAGTTGTTTTCATGAGCCACTTGGTTTCTTAAGAGCTTCTTCACACTTCAGCAGTCAGATGTGCTTCCTGTGCGACCACCAGATGTCTTTCAAAAGAGAAAACGGTACTGCTCTACTCCTAAGATAAGAAGGTCTTAGTTCTGGACCAAGCTGGGAACCAGCTGGGAACCACATGTGAGGCACACAAGTGGGAACAACAAATACAAAGCAAAGGCTTAGCAAACCCTCAGCATAAATCAGGAAGGGAGAAAATGGTTGGATGCTGGTATTCCTTTCTTACAGAAGTGTTCTAATTGATTTTTACCTAAGCGTTATTATTATTTCAAGAGCAGTAGCTGTGTTAGTTTGTAGTCTCTTAAGGTAATGTTTCATTACATCTTAGAGATAAGTATCTGGTATTTGGCTTCATGGACTGTAACCCGCTTTTCCAAATGAATGCATCTGAAGAAGTGTGAAGGAGAAGTTTTAAAGTACAATATGAAGCCTTGTGGCACAGTGGTTAAACTGCTAAAGTTCTGCTCACAACCCGGGTTCAATCCCAGGTAGCCACCTCGAGGTTCACTCAGCCTTCATCCTTCCAAGGTCAGTAAATTGAGTACCTACCTCGGGGGAGGGGGCAATGTGTAGCCTGCATAATTCAATTGAAAACCGCCCACGGAGTGCTTTAAGTGCTATGAGGTAGCGCCTACACTTTTACTTTATGGACAATTTCCTAGGCAAGTCCACCAGATTGCTGCCTGCAATTAAAAGTGTAATTCCATCTCTCAAAACTACTGCAAAGCTTTTGCTGAAACTTGAGCATGCCTTATAGCATGTTGCATACTTACCTCGGAAACCATCCAGTAGAACTCAATGGGGGACACTTTCAGGTCAGTATATCTAAGATCACGCCTGTAAGGCTACAATCCTTTTGTGGGAGGAAATCTTGGAGCCCTGCGGGGCTTCCTTCTAAGAAAGTATGCCAGGAACTAGTTTTACTAGGCAGTTCCTTGGGAACTCCTCCTCCCCTATCAGTTTGGGGCTCAGTCTTCCTATTGGACTCTGTCAGTCGGGTGGGGTGGGAAGGCTTCCCTCTGAAAGGTCCTGAGCTGGCATCCCATGTGCCCCAGACTGCAGCCGCCCGCCGGCATCAGGTTGCGCTGGCGTGATCTCCTGGTCTACCCAAGCGTGCCGCCTTGTTTTGCTTTCTGGCTTGCAAAGTGGAAACTTTTCTTTCCCAGCGGGTAGTGCAGGGCCGAGTCATTATTTTGACAGCTGCTGGCGAGTGAAGCCCCCACCTCCCCTCTTCTTTCCAACCTCCCCGATCACTCTTTTACAACATGGCATGGGAAGGAAAACCGGGTAGGGAGCGTCCCTGCTGGAGGGGAGAGAGGGAGGGGAAGGGTGAAAGCCAGTTAGGGAGGGAGGGAGGGAGAGGGGGGGGAACTTTCTTTTTCCACGCGTGGCAATCGCAGCCCTGAACAGAGTAAACAACGATCGCTGGGAGCGCATAACGGAATGAGATGGAGGAGAATGAAGCACAGAAGGAGTAACTGGAAGGGGGGAAAACCCACAAAGAGCTCTATTACACTGCATTTAAACACACACACGGTGCTGCAGAATTCCTACGATCTGTAAGAAAAAGGGAGTGGGTGAGTGGGAGATGAAGTTATTAATTTAGAAATCCCAGGGCTCGGACCTGCCTGCAATTTCGGGCTTCTATTCGGAACATTTTCGACCCTTTCTCCCAAACGGGGCTATCCGGCTCCAGTTACTCCAGAAGAAGATAAAGGCGGCACTCTTCACACGCTCAGAGGCACTCGATACCCACTGGACCCAGGATTTGAAAGAAGAAGAAGAAAGTAAAGAACACACCAAGCCGAGTAGGTGAGAAAACGAGGGATCCTACCTACCTTCTGATCGACGATGGAGCAAGCCATTTCCCGGACGTGGGCCAGACTGAACTCTCCCGAAGAGTCCTGCAGCAAGAGGACCGGCTCCCGGCTCAGGCCGATCTGGAGGTGGAAGGAGATGCCGCCGCCGCCGCTGCTGCCTGGCGGCAA